TTTTGAATGAATTCAGGAGAATTTGAGACCATCATGGCAGGCCAAGTCCAAGATTTTCTGGTTCCAAGATTATCATAATTACCACCACTGCACCGAAAGAAAGAGAAGGAATGCAAATCTAACGCCGAGTATCACCATTGTCATTGCTTTATCATTCTTCCATTTCCATTTCGTTTTGATTTCCCCTTATTCAGGTTAACCATTATTGCCTCTATGCACCCAATGGAGTTAAAATGGCGCTTTAAAACATAAAAACTTACGATTTTACGTTTCTAAATCACTAAAATGCTTCTACGCAAAATCTCAGTTTTTATAACTTATGTAGTTAAAAACTCCGCTTTAAAACCTAAAAAATTGTGATTCTATACTTCTAGATCACCAAAACATTTCTACGTATAAACTCTTTTTTTACTGCATTGTATGCACCAACAATAGCTCATCTAAATTTTACAAGGAGATAATTAAGACCATAACTTGTATAACGACACTTTGACAATAATAACGATATTTGTAGTTGATGTTCTCGATAATGACAACTACCGTTCTTCGCCCAATTAAGCTAAGTATATATAAAAATTCATTTGCAACAAGAGCAAGTTAAAAGTGTCGATGGATTTCCTGGCGTAATATGTGCCGCAGTAAACATGATGGCGGAATGGGTTTCCGTCGCTTTGAGCATTTTAATCAAGCCCTTCTCGCTAAGATTGGGTGGACTATCTTGACGGATCCCCATTCACTGTTGGCTAAAGTGTATAAAGGGAAATATTTCCCCTCGGGGGAGTTTCTAACCGCGACCGCTCGCTCTCGCCCATCTTGGGGGTGGCAAAGTATCCTTTATAGTCGTCAGCTGTTGGTTAAGGGGCTACGGTGGCAGATTGGGAATGGGCAGCTGGCTCCCATGTTAAGTTCTAGCTGGGTCCCTGCGTTACACCCGCAACCCCCAATCCCCAACCCAATCGTGCTACCAGGGGAAGGTGATCCTAAGGTTGAGGAAGTTCTGGCTCTCGGGGGCGGTCGATGGTGTGATGCCAAATTATCTCGTTGGTTTGATCCTTCCACTTGTAGGGCAATCAAAGCCATCCCTCTACCCCGGCTAGATATTCAAGATAAGCTGGTTTGGCATGGTACCAGTGATGGGGTGCTCACTGTCAAATCGGCCTATCACCTCGTTGTTGCTCTAGATAAGCACAAGGGGCATTGGCGAGCCTCGGTGAGTTGGATGGACCGCCCTAGCTGGATTCATTTATGGGATGCTAATATCCAACCTAAGCTGAAAGTTTTCTTGTGGCAAATCTTTCAACGTATCCTCCCAACGACAGAAGCTCTGATTGAAAGGAAGATTCAGGTGCTTCCCAGATGTCCAGTCTGCTGGGCTGACACAGAAACAATGGAACATTTGTTTTTGGAGTGTCCGGTCTCGAAGGCATTATGGGATCACACTGGGCTTGCCTATCTTGGTCAGGGGCTGCCTAAGCATACGTTCCCTCTCTTCCTGAAAAAGTTGATGGGTTTGATCCATCAACAGGATCTGTTCATCGCGGTGGTGGCGGTGCTGTGGAGGATTTGGCGGTCCAGAAATTGGGTTGTCTTTGAGGGTAAACAATTTGGAATCCCGGCCCTCCTACGGCAGTTTCATCAGCAATACCAGGAATGGGTTAATCTATCACCGGCAGGGGTGCCTAGGCTTTCTACTCCTCTGACTGAGCCCGTTGTAGGGGGTCATCCCTCTGGGGCGGTGTGTCAGTTGGATGGGGCTACTAGGCGAGGCTCGCATTCAGCTGGTAGTATGATTATCAGGGATCCGGGAGGACAGGTGCTGTTGGTTCAGGGGGTTCAGTTTGATGGAGTGGATGATCCCATAGTCATCGAATCGCTGGTGCTGAGGGAGGCGATTATCTGGTGTTTATCTCTTGGGTTCTCGGTGGTTTGCTTTGAAGGAGATGCCAAGGTGGTTATCGATAAGATCAATCAAGCAAGCACTCGGGATAATCAGATTGGAGCCATTCTGGAAGAGATCGTGGGGTTTTTTGCGCTGCATTCAGGGCTTAGTGTGCGATTTGTATGCCGGAGTAGTAATAGGGTAGACCATTTGGTGGCTAGAAGGGCCCTTTTTTTGTACCCGGCCTCATGTCGCAATTTTGATTTCGCTGCCTGATTAAACTCCAGGATGTAATGATCTTTGTTCAATCTATATATGATTATCTTTTGTCAAGAAAAAAAAGAAGTTAAAAGCACCATTATGTGCCGACTGCCGTACCCTCAAGCTCACAACTTCACAAATCACAACTCGATCACCCCCTTCTCCAACCCAACAATTATTCTTTACTTTCTCTTTATGTTATCCCAAATCCATAATCTCCCTAGTTCATTAGGCGAACACAAGGACATTATCTTTCCCCTATAGATTAGAAGGCTACTAACAATATTGGAAATATATTCTATATCATTCTTAAGAAAATGTTAGAAACATGATTTAATTCGTATAGTTATAAGAATACAAATCCTAATAATTAGTTGGGCCGGGTAAAGAAAAATTCATGACGAACCGTAACTACATAAATTTGGTTGATTTGCATTGGTATTTCGTCAATTACAGCCGTTAAAGACTTGTGTTTCGATAGCAAAACACGCGTGTTTAATGCGCTCTGTTCTCAATGAAAACAAGAACAAAGATCAGAAATCAAACGACCGTTACTCGGTCCACACCTCTCCAAACAATGTTCGAATGAGGGTGTTCGATGAGAAACGAGAAACCAAACCAGGAGTGTTCTAAGTTACGTTACCTCTACTCCTATGGAGGTTCCTCTTGAGAGCTTCGCGACTACGACTACGATCTATGACTACTACGACTCTGCAAAGGAGGTCTTTGGCAGAGAAGTTCTACGAACTAGAGAGAAAAATTGATAAGTTTGCGACGGTGCAGTTTTTTATTTGATTTTGTCGTCTTGAGCTTTTCTCTCTTCCCGATGTTTATACTCCAATCTTCTGCCCGTAGTCGCAGTAACCGCCTTCACGTTTTTGTCTCCCACGTTCTTCAGTTCTCAACTGTGTAGGTACACCTCCCCTTGTTCCTTAACTCCCACGAATTCGAAACCGCTTGTTCACGCAGGAACTTGGCCAAAATGACATTGCGCAAAAAATCCATAGTTCTCCACTACGGTTCGGTACTCCAAACATACCTGTCAAGCAAATAAACAACGACGTTTTTGTCTCCTAAACAACATTGCTCCTTTTCACAAAACCTCAAGCTCGTCGAGTCCGCGACATCGCCAAACATTGTTGAACTCTCGCCACCGCGACGTTGTTATAAGCTAAACAACGTCGCTTCCTATCCTCGTTGTTGGATCTTTGTGACGCTGCCGATAATGTTAGGCTTGTCTCACAACGTTGTTCTCCACAAAGCAACATCGTTTTCGACTATCGCGTCATCGTTAATGTCGCAATTTGACGCGACATTGTTTTTACTGAACACTATCATTGGGCCTTGACTTCTCGCGACATTATTTTAATTAAATAAAAAATGGTCGTTGGACTTGGCATTGCAATATTATTTCTAATCAATCGACATCGCTCACCAATACCACGGCATCGTTCATACCTCACGCGATCTCGCGGCTTTGCTAAACACATGTTGAACCCTCGCCATCGCGACGTTATTTTAGCTAACCAACGTCGTTTAGGTGGGTTTAGCCGTTAAATCTTCTCGCGGCATCGCTTTTCACTACTCAATGCCGTTTTATGGCCTTGTCAAATTTACAACCACAACTCAATTGCTCCGTCCCAGTTTGACCAGCAACATCGTTAGCCCTGCGACCTTGTTGTCCATCAAACAATGTCGTTTTTCATTCCGCGACACTGTTCGGCCTCGCACGGCATCGTTAAATTTGCAACCTTGCTAGCTTCATAAAACTCGACACTGCTTGACATCATTGTTGAGGTCGCGATGTCGCGACTTTGCTTCACTTTAGTCCACGACGACATCGAGCTCTTGAAATGAACTCAAGCCACACAACGTTGTTTTTCTATTAAACAACATCGTTTTTAGTGCTGGCAATGTTGCTGTATATGATTAATTGAACTGGCCTAATAGAAAACTCGCGACATTGTTCTCTACCAAACAACGTCGTTTTCTAGTCTTGCGGTGTCGTTGGCTTTGACTTCTCGGCGTTGTTTGTTTTACTAAGCAACACCATTTTTACTCCCTCACGACCGGATCTTCTCCACCTCCGGTACGGGATAAAGAACACTCATTTTCCAACCCTAACACCAAATCTTGCAGCCGCTCACGACATTGATTTCTACTAAACAACGTCGTTTCAAGTACCACGATCTAACCCTCAGTGACGTTGCTTGTCTCTCAACAGTATCGTTTTTTAATCCGCAGTGTTGTTGATACCTCTCGCGGTGCAGTTTTCAACTAAACGACACCATCCAAAATAACCATTAAAATATATAATCAATTGAGTTCGCCTTTCTCGAGAACTCAGCCAACACAAAGTCGTTTTTGAATTAAACCCTGTCGCTCTTGGTTCTGAAACCCAGACACACCCACTTGGCATGTCTAAACGACTTTGTTTGCCAGTATCGCGGCATTGTTGGGGTTTTGACGATGTCGTTGACCTCCGCGACATTGTTAAATCCCTTCGTAGCATTGCTTATCCCGGAACGGTGTCGTTTCTCTCCTCTTCCGACAAGGAATAAAAAAACATTCATTTTCCAACCCCAACACGAACATCGCGAAGATGAATAAATTCGTAGCCTAGGCTCGCGGCATTCTTTTTTTTTTTTAACCAAACTACGTTGTTTCTAGTACCGCGGTGCTATCGAGCTTCCTGGCGGTGTCGTTTAAACTCTACATGACGTTGCTCGACTCCAAACAACACCATTTTTTGTCATGCGGTATCAAATTAAATGCCGAGACTAATTAATACCGCATTTAATTATACCCAAAAATAATTTTAATTTGTCAACAACTTTGAAACAAATTACCCACGTAAGTTCGATTGATTAGCATTTTATCAACACTATTTCGTCAAGTTAAAAAAACAAAGTTTCACTCCCAGAAAATCAGCGAAAACAACACATAAAAAATTGTGTTGATAAATGCAAAACAGTGCAAAAGGAAGGACCATAATAATAATAAATAAATTTCTACTTAATGGTATTTAACTTTTTACAATTGGTAGATGATAAGAAAGCAAGTTAAGACCGCACGGCTATCAAACACCAGCAGCTCGCCGCCGTCCCCACTCACCGAGTCAAGCCCGACCCGCTCCTCCTCCCCCAACAACGACCCGAACCCGATTCCCTTTGACACCCGGCCCGCCACAACCCGACAGACCAACATAGCCCTCCTGCCCTTCCCTCTGCCGGCGCTCTCGTGGGCCCCACCGCTCCCCGAAAATGTGCAGATGGCTGTCGATCCCTTCACGCCCGTAAACACCCACGCGCCTCCCCCACGCGCGTCGCCGGCAGGACCCAGACAGTAGAATCTCATCATCTCGTTCCCATCGGCCACGCACCTCACATTCTCCTCACACGTCCCGCCGCCGGTACCCGCCGACAACCCGGCCCGCGACTTCACCAGCTCGCGGTACTCCTCGAACCGGGTTGATGTTCGGGTCCCGTTCTGGACCTTGAAGATCATCTCGATCCGACCTGCGAACGACTTGTCGCCGCTCCAGCTCGTGTGGAAAATAATCTACACCACGTTCCTCGACGGGTGCCCCTCCAGCAGCTCTGCCAATGCCGGGAAGATCGCCGCCGGTTGACTGTGTTTGTGCCCGAGTCGCGACGGCGGGGCAGGGGAAGGAAACTGTTTCCCGGTGAGAAAACTTGTTGAAAATAAATTGATTGCACCTTTGACTTCTTTGGACAACGATCACTAAACACGGTTCACACCTCTTCAAACACAGTTCGAACGAGAGTGTTCGATGTTTACACGACTCTCGAGACAGATCTACATTAAATTACTCCTACTCCTATGGAGGTTTACAGAGAGCTCCAAATCTACGACTACTGATAAAAATTTTCAAAGGAAAGATAAGATTGATAAAACTTGACAAGTGGTGTCGAGTGGTGATTTTTGCGGGCCCTTCACTATCACTCTATCCTCCTATTTATAGCCGCGAGTGGGTAACTGTCTTAGAAAAACTGTCTCGGATAACTCCCAAAAAGAACTGCTCCCTGCTTCCTCAGAACGTGGCTGAAGTGTCCTTTGAACGTGGGATGAGTAGCAGTTACCTCTCAACTGCATCTGCGCCTCTCTTGAAACTGTCGCGGGACTTGGCGTGCGGCACGCCTCATAGATCACGGTTATGGACTTCTTTACTCATGCCCATGGCCCTCTTGGACTTAGTCACTAGTGATATGTTTCTCCACCACCATGTCATTCTCCTTCGTGTCCATGGCCTCCCTCGTGAGACGACATGGCTTTCTCATGATTATAATTTGGCATGGCCTCTTGTTCGCACCCATGGACCTCTCCATCATGGACATGGCCTCCCTTTTGAAGCGGCAAGTCCTTTCCTATACTTAGAATATTTTTGGTTGTTTGGTTTAGATCATGAAGTGACATGGCCTCTTTATTCGCGGTCATGGACTTCTCATTCACGTTTGTGGCCCTTTCCGCTGGACGGCATTGGTCTCCTCGTACTTGGTATTATTCACATGCCCAGGTCCTCTTGTCTCGTGTCCATGGCCGTCATATATGACACGGCCATGGACCTCTTAATCACCCATATGGCCCTTCTCGTGACACAACATGGCCCTCTCATACTTAGTAACTTTTCTTGCGTCCATGCCCCTTCTCGGTGGCATGGACGTCTCATCTTGTCTCGCGTCCATGCCCCTTCTCGTAAAGCGGCATGGACCTCTCCTTGAATTGGCACATGCTTCTCCATGAAGCGGCATGTACCTCTTCCAGATTTAGTTTATTTTTCAGTCATTCGGTACTGGTCGCGGGGCGGCATGTGCACCTCAATTTCTAGATGGACATTGCTCTCTTCGTTGAGGCGGCATGTCCCTCTCAAGATTTAGTGGCTTGGGCTTAAAATCAATATCCATAAGGCCCAACTTAAACAACATTAATTGTTATAATGGGTGTTGCCTTATAAACTCATTAATTATCTTGTAACTCACCAATGTGGTACAAGACAAAATTTTATAGTGTAAACAAATGCCCCCCCAACTACTTACTGCATAAGGCTTATGGACTAAGTAGTTTAGCCTACCTGAACCCAACAGACGATTTTCGTGGCCATTTAATGGCAGCCCATTACAATTTCTCAAATTATCACATATCACTACAAGGCCACTTTGAAAAAGCCACGAGGATTAGCTAATATCCCATGGTATTAATGTAAGGGTGGAATTTCTTTATAAAGTGGGCATCACGTGTCCACCAATCTTTCCAATTGTATGTGTTTGCTTAGAAAACACACAAGATACAACTACCTTCCTTGGAAAATTCTGCCTTCATAAAAAACGAAGCACACGGCCCCATGCTACTTCCTCGACCACGTGGTCATAATAATCCCCATCAAAGGGGCCTAAGTTCTGGTCCTTAAGGCCTCTTTTTTAAGAAAGAACTTAAAGCCTTGTGATTGGCTAATTCAAGATAAGGTAGTTAGTAGGAGTTATTAGTTAAAAAGTTGTTAGGGGTATTAAGGAGAATATAATTAAATTAAAACATGTCTATTATTTTAAAAAACCATAAGAGCGGACGGTTTATTATTTTCAAAAACCCTAAGCGTGTCCGTCTCTGCCAATTTTTCTCGTCGTCCCTACTTCTCCGTCAACGGCGAGTCCGTCGCCGTTGAAGCACGAGGCCGTCGAGTTCCCGAAGCACGAGCCCGTCGAGTTCCCGTCGTCCCTGCTTCTCCGTCAACGGCGAGTCCGGCGCATAGTCCCTGAAGCACGAGCTCGTCGAGTTCCCGTCGTCCCTGCTTCTCCGTCAACGGCGAGTCCGTCGCATAGTCCGAGTTCGTGCGGTCGACTTCTCCTGCCGAACCCATAACTTCTCTCGTCCGGTCGAGTTCTCCTGCCTGCTGTTCGATTTCTCAATCTATCGTCGGCGGCCGCGTGTTAAGGTATTTTTTCGGTCCGATGGAATTAGGGTTTTTTTTTAGGGTTTTGAAGATCCCATGGAATTAGGGTTTTCAATCGTGATTGCGGTGAAGGAGAGCATGCCCTCGTGATTGCGGTGAAGGGCAGCATCATCATGCATCAAGCTTGTTTTGGCGTTGCATGTTGCATGTTACATCAAGCTTGTTTTGGACGTATGGAAAACGTGTTGTGTTTATATTATTAATTAATACGTGTTTGTTTTCAACTTTTTTGTTCTATATTATTAATCAATTTGTCATGCAAGTCAATGTGTTGTGTGTTCATTGTTAGTCAATATTTTTAATTTTTTTGTGTCCATTGTTAATCAATTTCTGCTCGTTATGAACCTTTCTTATATCTATTATTAATCATTCGGTGGGCGTTTACAAGCTGTTTTGGTTAACATTGTTAATCAATATGTTCTTGCTCTCAACCTTTTGCTTTTTATTATTAATGGATATGTTCTTTGCCAACGTGATAATTTTGCGAACACCATAATCAATTCTTGTCGTGTTATGTTGTTTTAGTGAACACCGTTATCAGCACTACTACCTCATGTACATTATTAACATTTTCTTTTGTATTGATCGTTATTAAGAAATGGGTTATTAATCATTTCGTGGACTTTCTTAATAATTTTTTACAGTGGTCCACAATATAATATGGCACGTACGAAGAATACTTCGCGTAAGTCTGCACCGTTGAGTAAGCCTATGAAGAAAAAGGCAGATGCACCCATAGCTGATGACAATCGCTTACCAATCAGGTGCAGTGTGTCTCAGGTCCGCAAAATCGTTAAGAATATTAGCCCAAGTCGTGCGGCTATACTTCGAAGTTATGGGTTCGGCTTCGTTCTTAACTTGCAGATGCGTAGTATTGACCAGGATTATTTGCGCTTGGTAAATGTTAATTTTGATGGTGGGTGAACACACAACTAGCATCTTTAATTGAATTTATTTCCTGTTGTGTTTTCAACTTTATCCGTAGTCATTATCCATAAAATTTGTTTCATTATTAATTGTGAGCACCTGTCCTTGTAACATTTTGTAGGTCAGTCTATGTCTTTCCAGATGCCTAGAGGGGTACGTTTGTATCTTACTGAGGATGACGTCGAATGCGTGTATGGCTTGCCCAAGGGTCCCAATATTGTTGATCTTGACATCTTCGACCAGCGCAATACAAAGGAATGGGCGTTGGCTCTTGGCATATCCACAGTCGGCCCAAATATGATTGACCTAATGCAGTTGAAGAATGACATGAGGAACACCACCGATGATGAATCTTGGGTGCAGATGTGCATTCTATTGAGCATTGGATATGTTCTGGACCCAAATGGCAGTATGAATGTGATGCATAAGTACCTTGGATTCATGAGGGGGAGAGCAGCTGAAGAGATTAGAAACTTCAATTGGTGTGGTCATATGCTGAGCCGGGTGAGACGGGCTATTCTTGGGAATTCAGATAGAAAATATGTGGAGGGCGATGTGCACTTTCTTATATGTGCTTTCATGGACCGGACCGGTGTGCCAAACACAACTGGAACAGTTTCTACCATTATACCAAGCTGTACGTTATGGAATGAGAAACGAGTGTCAGGGCGCAAGGAAGCAGTCCTTAGTACTTCAAATGATCTGAGGGCTGTCCCTATATTGGATTTCCCAGGGTCTAAGGCCAATAAGAAGAAACTGGTGGAGGAGATTGGAAAATCTAGAGCTAAGCATGTTGATTCTGTGAGCATTGTTAGAGAGGTCTGTTTGAAATGGGTGCAACCAGAGAATTATGATGGGGGAGAATCTGAACAGAACATTAAGCCAAAGTCGTTGTTCGAACTTATGTCCTTGAGGACCGACCACATGGACACGAATGAGGTTAGCCCCTTAATTTTTATAATTATTAATGTTATTGTTTACATTATCAAGATTTTTCGACCTTATTATTAACTAAAATTTCGATTTGGTTGTCTTCGAAATGAAGCTTTTGTATATGCGGAAGGAGGCTTTAAGCTTCCTTGCAACGCTTCGCGGTCAGGTGACCTTCTTCAAAAGACTCGTTGGTGTTTGCGATTCAGAGTTAAACAGTCGTGACGTCACCTCATTTGATGATGAAGATGTAAACGGCTCGGCCTCTCGGGAGGAGACTGTTGCTGAGTTTTCGTTGGATGGATCTGGTTCGAAAATTGCATCCCCACCTGCCAAAGGTCTTGAAGAGATTTGCACATCGGTTGATACCCCCGGTTAGTTTCATACCAATTTCATGACAATTATTAACTAGGATTCCTAATTCATTAATTCTTTAGAACTTTATGTGAATATTTTCACACGATAATTATATTTGCCATCCTTGTTTTATATTATTAATCAATTTACAGTCGTTGTTAACATTTTTTATATAGCATAACGTCAAGATAAGGAGTAAGAATGTCATAAAACATATTCATAATAGGTTTAAAAATATTAATGATTTGGTATTCGCAGTTAATAATCGTGTATGAAAACATTGATAATAGTTTTAAAAATATTAATGATTCGAGAACCCGTGTTAATAATCATTTTACAAAAAAAATTGATAATAGGTTTACAAATATTAATAAGAATGCCACAATTTCCTGTATTGCAGGCAAAGAGACGATAGATGCTGAGCAAGATGCTACTGTGGAAAAGATTTGCACATTGGTTGATAACCCTGGTTAGTTTCCTTATTAAAAAATAATGTCGCGATAATTATTAAGACTGTCATAAAACTATTGCTAATAGGTTTAAAAATATTAATGATTTGGTATTCGCAGTTAATAATCGTGTATGAAAATCTTGATAATAGTTTTAAAAATATTAATGATCCCAGAAACCGTGCTAATAATCATTTTACAAAAAAAAACATTGATAATAGGTTTACAAATATTAATAAGAATGCCACAATTTCCTTTATTGCAGGCAAAGAGACGATAGATGCTGAGCAAGATGCTACTGTGGAAAAGATTTGCACATCGGTTGATAACCCTGGTTAGTTTCCTTATTAAAAAATAATGTCGAGATAATTACTAAGGATGTCATAAAACTATTGCTAATAGGTTTAAATATATTAATGAATTGGTATTAGCAGTTAATAATCGTGTAAGATAATATTGATAATAGTTTTAAAAATATTAATGATTCAAGAAACCGTGTTAATAAACATTTTACAAAAAAAATTGATAATAGGTTTACAAATATTAATAAGAATGCCACAATTTCCTGTATTGCAGGCAAAGAGACGAGAGATGCTGAGCAAGATGCTGATCAAGATGCTACTGTAGCTAATGATACACTTGTACCTAGCCCCAATGATCAAGATGCTGAAGTTGCTAAGAAGGCTGACAAGCCTAAGGTTGGCAATGCATGCGCGAGGACATACAAGCGCAAGAAAGGAAAGGAAGCAGAGGACGAGGCCCAACCACGTAAGAGGCCATAGAGGGAGATTAGGCCATCTACTCTTGTCACTTTCCCATTCACTGCAGGGACAAAGATAGATACCCTAAATGCTCCTAAGAAGAAGACAAAGAATGCTCTGCCCTTATGTTTCGTACTGGATCCTAATAAATGGGAGGACTTGGTGGTGTGCTACGCTTGGAATCCGAGAATCACGAGGTAAGTGATTTTCTCCTTATAACACCAATCACTAATGCCTATTTTATGATATCTGTACATCATCCTGATTCCTCCCATGATTTTTAATATAGAAAAGAAGAGTTACGAACTCTGAAGGACAATACTCTCTCCCTTTGGAGGGAGGACACACAATCATCCGCGCCTAACATCTTCATTGAAGACGCCTTCGTTGATTGTTATTCTGATTATCTCAATCGTCTTGAAGTGAAGAAAACAAATGGTTCTGTCACTAGATGGATTTTCATGTCCCCATTTGTGGTATTTTTCCAACAACCAATGCTTATTTGTTATTTTTTAGTTGTTTTGTCTTCTTGTTTCCGCTTTCACATTCTGCATTTTCGTTGTCTTATAGCAAAACTTGCTGGCATTTGACGAGAATAATGAAGTCGTCCAACCAGGAGATACAGAGCCTACCCAATTCCCTGTGCGGAGAATGTTAATTGATGAGTTTGAGACAATCGCTTGGCTTGAGGACAAAACTATGTCAAGCTGCAATTTTGTGAGTTTCGTTCCTTAAATATTTCCATTATTAACAATTTGTATTCCGTTGACGATTTTTTACCATTTCTTAATAATAAATCACATCAGTAACATTTAACATACCATTTGTAACAATTTCTTTTTACCTTCTTGCAGTGGTTTTTTCCTGTGTGCATCGCAACACACTATGTCGTTTTCTGTGTTGACATCCAGAAGAAACAATACCAATTTATGAATGGCAAAAAATCAGATTGGGGTAGCGGACCTTACAAAGATATGGGGGAGAAGCTTGTCAAGTTCGTCATTGCGTTCTGTGGCTGGACAGACAGCCGTTGCATTAATTTCGATGAGTTCACATGGGAGATTGACCTTGGTTTCAAACAGTCAAATGACACTTCTTGTCGTGTTTATGCTCTCAATTTTATGGAGTTTTGGCAGGGGACTAGGGAGCGCGGTTGGAAGACCTTGTGGGATAATGATATCTACATCAACATGAGGAGAGCAGAATGTTGCAGATGTCTGTTGTTGGACGAAGCAAACCTTAAGCTTCCATATCTGACAGAGCAGGTAGAGAGGGAGGAGTTACTACAGATTGCTTCACAATTTGGATCCCAATATGGCTAGGAGTATTTCTTCAGATTTTGCAAACAACACAATGTTCAGAATTTTTCCGTTTCTCGTCTGTTATTTGCAAACTTGGCAATGTTCACAACTTTTTCGTTTCTCTATGTTTTGGATTCCGACTGGATTATTTCGACGGTTTTTTGCAAACTTGGAAATGTTCAGAAATTTTGTTGAATGTTTATTAACAGTGTATCTCATCATTAGTTATCAAGTTCTTAAACCACGATTGTTAACGACCATTGATTATCAGTGTTCATTAACGACCATAGATTATCAAATTAGTATAACACAATTATTAACTTTTTCCCCCAATTTATTAATATAATTCCGATGATTTATTTGAACACGATTATAATTTTGATGTGTTAGATTATCAGAATTAGTAGAACTCAATTATTAACAATTTCTCTCAATTCAT